TAAAAACTTTGTGTTGCAAAAGACTGTCTGCAGAGGATGAAAAGATAAGCCATAGACTGGGAGAAAACATTTGACAGAGAACCACCTAGACTATTTAGATGTATATATAGAATATATAAAGAATTCTCAAAACTCAACAGTTGAAATCAACCCAGTTAGAACACAGGCAACAGGCATTTTACTGAACAGAACAGATATTTCACTGAAGGGTTTATACAGATGGTAAATAAGTGCATGAAAAGATGTTCAGCATCTTTAGCCGTTAGAGAAATGCAAGGTAAAACCACAACGTGGTATCACTACACACCTATCAGAATGACAAAAATAATGGTCATAGCAAGGATGCAGAGAAACTGGATCATTTATATGTTGCTGGTGAGAATGTAAGATGTCAGAGCTCCTCTGCAAAGGAATATGACAGTTTCTTTAAAAACTAAACAAGTGCTTACCATATAACCTAAGAATTGCACTCTTGGCCAAGCACAGTGGCTCATACCTGCATTCCTAGAACCCTGGGAGGACAAGGAGAGAAGACTGCTTGAGCTGAGGAGTTTGAGACCAGCACTAGCAGACTGCCAGGATTAAAAGCATGAGCTATTTCCCCAGGCTTGAATCACTTTTTTTTTTTTTTGAGTCTCACTCTGTCACCCTGGGTAGAATGCTATGGCGTCTAGCTCACAGCAACTTCAAACTCTTGGGCTCAAGAGAGCCTCTTGCCTTGGTCTCCTGTAGTAGCTGGGACTACAGGTGCCTGCCATGATGCCCAGCTGTTTTTCTATTTTTAGTAGAGATGGGTCTCGCTCTTGCTCAGCTGGTATCAAACTCCTAAACTCAGGCAATCCACCAGCCTTGGCCTCCCAGAGTGCTAGGATTATAGGCATGAGCCACCATGCCCAGCAGGACTTGACTTTTTTTTTAAACCAACAATACCAACTATTGTTGAGAATATGGAGCCACCAGACCTCTCACACATTGCTAGTGTGAACATAAAAATGATATACCCCACTTTGAAAAACATTTGCCATTTTTTACACAGTTACACACTTGCCATAAGTCCCAGCAATCCTATGTCCAGCAAGACATATTTACACAAGTGAAATGAAAACTTAAGGCCAGGTGTGGTGACACACGCCTTTAACCACAGTGTTTTGGGGGCCCAGGCAAAAAGATCGTTTGAGTGCAGGAGTTCAAGGTTGCAGTGAGCTATGATCGAACCACTGCTTGGGTGACAGAGCTGAACCTCATCTCAAAAAAGAAGAGAGGATAGGAGCCAAGGGGTGGGGGGGAAGAGAGTTAGAAAGGAAGGAAGGAAAGGGAGGAGGAAGGAAGAGAGAGAACTTAAGTTCGCATTAAAACCTGTACATGGGCTCGGCGCCTGTAGCTCAGTGGTTAGGGCACCAGGCACATACACGGGGGTTAGTGGGTTTGAATCTGGCCAGAACTGCTAACCAACAATGACAATTACAACAACAATTAAAAAAAAAAAAGCCAGGTTGTGGCGGGCACCTGTAGTCCCAGCTACTTGGGAGGCTGAGACAAGAGTTTGAGATTGCTGTCAGCTGTGATGCCACTGCATTCTACCAAGGTCAACATAGTGAGACTCTGTCTCAAAACAAAAACAAAACAAACAAAAAAAACCTGTGCATGAATACAGCTTATATTTGCAACTGCCCAGAACCAGAAGCAACCCAACTGTCTTTCATCTGGGGAATAAGGAAACAAAGTGTAATATACAAAATATAAGTGGTACCCGACAGTGAGTTGATACACATCAACATGAGCAAGCCTCAAACAAATACTGCTAAGTGAAAGAAGACACTCAAAAAGGGCGGCACCTGTGGCTCAGTGGGCAGGGCACTGGCCCCATATACCAAGGGTGGTGGGTTCAAAACCGGCCCAGCCAAACTGCAACAAAAAAAATAGCTGGGCGTTGTGGCAGGCGCCTGTAGTCTCAGCTACTCAGGAGGCTACTCAGGAGGCTGAGGCAAGAGAATCACCGAAGCCCAGGAGTTGGAGGTTGCCGTGAGCTGTGTGATGCCATGGCACTCTACCAAGGGCGATAAAGTGAGACTCTGTCTCTACCAAAAAAAAAAAAAAAAAGAAGAAGAAGAAGAAGAAGGCACTCAAAAGACTGTGAAGTGGACTTGGCACCTGTAGCTCAGAGGGTAGGGTGCCAGCCACATACACCGGAGCTGGCAGGTTTGAACCCAGCCCGGGCCTGCCAAACAACAATGACAACTGCAACCAAAAAATAGCTGGGTGTTGTGGTGGGGACCTGTAGTCCCAGCTACTTGGGAGGCTGAGGCAAGAGAACCACTTAAGCCCAAGAGTGTCAGGTTGCTGTGAGCTGTGACATCACAGCACTCTACCCAGGGGGACATAGTGAGACTCTGTCTCAAAAAAATAAAGACTATGAAGTATATACTATAATTTCATTGATGATATTCTGCAAAAGGTAAAGGTCTGAGAGAACAGGTCAGCCATTGTCTGGGGCTGGGTTGGAGACAAAGCTTGATTACAACAAGGACATGTTTCTGTATCTTGATAGTGGTGGTGGTTACACGATTTTACACATTTACCAAAACCTATAAGTGTGAATGTGAAAAAAGTGAATTTTACTAAGTATAAGTTGTACCTCCATTTTTTAAAAAATTAAGAAAAACTGAGGCCAAGTGCAGTGGTTCATGCCTATAATCTTAGTAGTTTGGGAGGTTGAGGTGGAAAGACCACTTGAGGCCAGTAGTTCAAGACCAGGCTGGGTAACACAAAGAGACCTCCATCTCCACCAGGCATGGTGGTGGGCGCCTATATACATCCCAGCTACTTGGAAGACAGAAGCAGGAGGTTTGCTTGAGCCCCACAATTCAAGGAGGCAGTGAGGTATGATGGTGCCACTGCACTCCAGCCTTCTGTCTCTAAAAAGATTTCAATTTTTACAAAAATAGAAAAAATGAGAGAATATATATCTGATTGTAATTTCACATCAATTTATGCAGAAAGTCAATATGTACAATTTAATGCAAAATGCTCAAAAACAAAATGTACATTATTTTAGTTCTATTTTTAAAAATATGTTCTAGCAAAAAATCCTTAGGAGTTGTTTTAAGCAACGTAGACATTACAAGTGACTACAGACTTTTATTGTAGCATTACTTTACAATAAGAAAACACATTCCTTTGAACAGAAAAATTAATTACTTTTTTTTCTCTTTGAGACAGAGTCTCAAATTATCGCTCTGGGTAGAGTGCCATGGTGACATAGCTCACAGCAACCTCCAGCTCGGGCTCAAGCGATCCTCTTGCCTCAGTTTTTCTATTTTTTAGTAGAGATGAGGTCTTGCTTCTATTCAGGCTGGTTTCAAACTCGTGAGTTTCAAGCAATCCATCTGGCTCGGCGCCTGTGGCTCAAGTAGCTAAGGCGCCAGCCACATACACCTAAGGTGGCGGGTTTGAATTCAGCCCTGGCCTGCCAAACAACAATGATGGCTGCAACCAAAAAATAGCCAGGCATTGTGGCAGTGCCTATGGTCTCAGCTACTTGGGAGGCGGAGGCAGGAGACTCACTTGAGCCCAGGAGTTGGAAGTTACTGTGAGCTGTGATGCTACAGCACTCTACCCAGGGGGACAGCTTGAGGCTCTGTCTCAAAATAAATAAATAAAGCAATCCATCTGCCTCGGCCTCCCAGAATGCTAGGATTACAGGTGTGAGCTACCGCACCCAGCCAAAAATTAACTACTTAAAATGGAAAATAAAATGATCTGAAGCAAAGACTAAGATACTAGTTTTTATAACTTCCAGTTGGAGTCCCCACTGATAAACTCTTTTTTTTTTCTTTTTGAGAACCAGATTTTGCTCTGTTGTCCAGGCTGGATTTGAACTCCTAGGTTCAAGTGATTATTCTCTCTCCTGCCTTGGCTTCCTGAGCAGCTGGGATTACAGGTATGCACCACTATGCCTGGTATCCATAGGCACTTTTTATATTACTCTGGGTATTTTTCCCTAGTACCACCACCCACAGGGCTGTTTTAGGGATTAAATAAGGCTTGGCACCAGTAGCTTGGTGGTTGGGGTGCCGATCACATACACCGGGGCTGACAGGTTTGAACCCAGCCCGGGCCTGCTAAACAACAATGACAACTACAACAACAACAAAAAAATATAGCCAGGCATTGTTGTGGGCGCCTGTAGTCCCAGCTACTTGGGAGGCTGAGGCAAGAGAATCGCTTAAGCCTAAGAGTTTGAGGTTGCTGTGAGCGGGATGCCATAGCACTCTACTGAGAGCAACATAGTGAGACTCTGTCTCAAAAAAAAAAAAAGGTTGATAAGGGAAAAAAAGGATTAAATAAGATACTATATGTAAAGTGCTTAGCATGGCATTTGACCCACAGTAATTGCTCAAACTATGTCAGCTGCTCCCCTACTCCCATCCCTCAGGTCCAGACTCTCAGTCCTTCCCAAGCTGGTCTCCCTGAGGTGGTAGTCATGGTCTGTTTCTCTCCCTAACCAGGCTGGTGAGACATGGTAGCCCCATCACCAGTACAAGGAGTGGAGCCTCAAAGAGATGGGACATAGTAGGCCCTCAACACTTTTTGCTGGAGTGAATGACTCTGCCCAGTGCTTGTCAAATAAGGGCTGCCAAATAATTATTCTTTTCAGTGTTTGGCTAAGCATACAGCCATATCATGGGTTGGCTAGATGAGGGACACCAAGAGAGGCAAATTCTTGGTTGAGGGACCTATGTCCTTTCCACTACATCCCAATTTAGAGTTAAAGGCTTCCCTGAGAGAGGCACAGGCTGCTCCCTTCCTCTCCCTTGGAGGCAGGGATGGATTCCTCAGGCTGCAGCCAGGCAATGGAATGTTGTGTCGTTTGTTGCCCAGGCAACCAGGGCCTGCTTGGTGGTTGCCTTCTGCGAGTACTGAACACGCTTCCATACCACCCTTCATCAGAATCCCCAGGGCCTCCTAGGCTTGTGCAAAACTCTAGAAACTGCTGGAGAATGGCGGTGCCCTGGGAGGAATATTTCCGACTGGCCTTGCGAGAGAAACTACCTACGTGAGTGAGACGTGACATAGCGGCAGGGAGGGCTGGAAGGAGAGTGGGAATGGTGGGATGGCCCACCCCTCTTCCCTCACTCCCTGGGTTCCCACTTCTCTGGGCAGTCCATCGTGGGGGATTATTGCTCCCACTTCACAGAGGAAGAAACTGAGTCTATGAATGAAATGGTGACTTCCCCAGGGGCTCAGGGATCATTAACCTGCTCCAATCCCCACCCCCAACTGACATCCAGCTGAGACTAAATTGTTGAAACTCTGGTGGGAATGGATTATTCTGGGAAATCTTGCCCTTGCACCCCCCTCCCCGCCCCAAACTGCCTTTTTTTTTTTTTTGAGACAGAGTCTCACTATGTCACCCTCAGTAGAGTGCATGGCGTCACCACTCACAGCAACCTCAAACTCTTGGGCTCAAGCGATTCTCTTGCCTCAGCCTCCCAAGTAGCTGGGACTACAGGCGCCCACCACAATGCCCAGCTAATTTGTTGTTGTTGCAATTGTCGTTGCAACCCGGGCTGGGTTCCAACCTGCCACCTTTGGTGTATATGGCTGGCGTCATAACCACTGTGCTATGGGCACTGAGCCTGAATTTTTTTTTTTAAGACAGAGTCTCACTTTGTCCCTGTGGTGTCATAGCTCACAGCAACCTCAAATTCCTGGGCTCAAGCAATTATCTTACCTCAGCCTCCCAAGTACCTGGAACTATAGGCACCTGCCACAACTCCTCACTATCTGGTATTCTTAGAGATGGGGGTCTCGCTCTAGCTCAGGCTGGTCTCAACTTATGAGCTCAGGCAATCCACCTGCCTCCACTTCCCAGAATGCTGGGATTACAGGTGTGAACCACCGTGCCCAGCCTCCCAAACTACATTTTAAGGACAAGCAGAGGCAGTGCGCTCTGTGCCTGCTTTGTGTCTCAGCTTGGCTGCAGCAGGGAGCTGGCCTCCCCCTCCGCTCCCTCCCAGGCTGTGGGGTCCCCTTTAACTCCTTTCTCACCTTACCCCCTTACCACCCTCCCAGGGCTCCAACTTCACTCAGAGTGAAGGCCAAAGTCCTCCCTGCCCATGGGAGGGGTCTGTCCCCCTGCACCTCTCTGCCCTTTACCTGCACCTCTTCTCTATGTCCCCCTTCTCTAGCCACACTGGCCTTCTTCAGCACATTGAGGTTCTTCACTGGGGACCTTGGCATTGCTGTAGTCCACTCTGTTCCCTGGTGATACCCATGTGGCTGGTGCCCCCCTCTCTTCCAGGTCTCTGCTCAAATGCACTTCTTCAGAGACACTTTCTGTCTCCCTGTTAAAAGATTCCTTTAGTCTGCTTAATTTTTCATCTTGGAGCCTGCCATGTCTTAGTATTAGTATTAGTTATTAGCTTGATATGCTGTGGCCTCTTGGCAAATGCCAGCATTCCAGGGGCAAGGATTTTTGTCCCATTCATAGCTGTGCCTCCAGTACAGCACCCTGCTCAGAGTGGTGCTGAGGATGATTTATTGAATGAGCAAAGAATTCTGCACTCAGCAGGTGGCTAATGTGGGCACTTTAGGCCTACGGGGAGTTCTGGGGACATGACTCTGGCTTCCTTCACTGTCACCTCCTCCTTGTGTCTCTTCAGGAAGACACCAGAGCAGAATGTAGATCACTTCCCACCAGTGCTGTGTCTCCTGGAGAAGAGGCAAGAGCTAGCAGACGCAGACCAAGGCCTGCAGGCCCAGAGGGAGGTGAGCCCTGGCCGCAGACTTTTCTTCGGGGTCCCAGCAGACAAACAATGGTGGTGAGCAGAAGGATGGGAAGTGATGGAGTCCACTTACTAGTGACCAAATGCGAGACAAGTCATTTCACCATTGAGAGGGAGCCTTGATTTCCTCATCTGTCAAATGGGTAACAGGTGAGACCAGTTGTGGATGTAAATAAATTAGGGTACATTGAGGAGCACTTACTATGTGCTGGGAATTGCATTGAGACCAGCAGAGCTCACTAAGGTCCCTGTCATATGGGGCACAGGAAAACAGACAAGTGCCCACGTAGTGGCTTCCATGGAGGAGAAGCCCTGGGCAGGGACTATAGGAGCCCAGAGGAAGCTCCTATATCCACATGGGGGTGGTGAAGGAGGGCTTCCTGGAGGCAGTGATGTCTTGGGGGCTGCTGGATGGCAAATTGGCTTATCCAGCAACGAAAATGGGATAAAGAGGCGAAAACAAGCAGATGTAAATACATGCAAAGTCTAGAAGGCAAGGACAAACCAGGTAGTCAAGTTGCTGGAAGACAGGGCAGGAGGAGAGAGGAAGATGAGGCAGGAAGAAAGGACAGGGACTGGCGGCGGATTCAAACCCAGCTCCAGCCAAAAACTGCAAAAAAAAAAAAAGAAAGAAAGAAAGAAAGAAAGGACAGGGACAATGGCCTTCAGTACCTACAGGAGGGCTTCTGGGCTTCACCCCTGGGCTATGTGAGCCATGAACCGTTTGAGCAAGGGAGCAGCCCCAGATCCAGCACAATAGACGTGAGGTCTTGAATCCCCAAACACAGACATCCCACTTGTCATTCCCAGGTGTTCCACACCAAGATGGCAGCCCTGAAACAGCGCTGGGAACAGCTGGAGCAGAAGGAGCGGGAACTAAAAGAGTCCTTTGTTCGTTTTGACAAGTTCTTTCAGGTAAGTGGAGACTGCTGGGGAACCAGGGAAGGCCGGTCGCCAGCTCACGCTCCTATAGGGGCCAGACGGGTCACATAAATAAAAGAAGTAGAAGAAAGGGTGGTGGGAAGTAAACTTGCCTGCCTGAAGTATTTGAGTTTTAAAAGGGAGGGGAGGAGTAAGGGGCCAAAATCTGAGATTCTGGCTGAATTTGGCCTGCAGGCCGTCTGTCAGCCTCCCGTGGCTCTGCGTCTGACTGTTAGAACATGAGGGTGGGAGGTGGCGAGTTCCGCCAGGTCATTAGCCCTGCATATCGTCCCCTCCTGGTCCTCACTCTGCAGGACGCGGAGGCCCGGCGCAGCCGCGCGCTGCAGAGGGCGGCGGAGGAGCGGCACCGGGCCGGCCGCCAGGAGGCGGAGGCTCTGCGGTTGCGGGCCCAGCTCGAGGAGCTGCGCCGGGAGCGCGCGCGGCTGCAACGCCAGCTGCAGCGCCTGGAGCCCTGCGCGCGCCTGCTGGAGCAAGCCCTGGCGCAGCTGCCCGAAGTGAGTCCCGAGCCGGAGGAAGCTGGGCCTGGGCGCCACCATGCGGCGCTAGACCGCCTCAGGGACCGCTTGGGATGGGGACCCTACCTGAGCGCTGACTGTGTATGCCAGGAACCATCACTTACTAAGTACTCCCTATATGCCACTCTTTCTTCTTGAATAACTCCCACCCTCTACAATGCAGAGAAATGAAACCTGTTATGGTCAATCCCATTTGACAGATGGGGAAACTTGGAAAATTCAGAAAGCTAACTCTTACTCAAGGTTATGCGCTTAGGCTAGTGTGTTTGGGGGACGAGGGATCCAGACTAAAGGGACCACGGGTAGAAGGGTTGGGGGACGAGAAGGGGGCAGAATCCATAAGGAGAGGAGGCCAGTCCAGCGATTGGAAGGACTTGATTCGAAGAGAAAAGAAGAGTGGAGTCAGAAACTGGCTCACTTTCACACAGAGGCTTTCATTATCCCTTATCAGTAGGGTCTATTGTGGGAGGGGGTTCCCGGAGAGAGTCTTCCCTTCTACAGAGGGACAAATTTGTGCACTCAAGGCAAATCCAAGTTACTCCTTTAATTGGTCACCAGACGGGGCCAAAGTAAAAGTTACTATTCTATTGTTTTCCGGGAACAATGGCCTTGAAAGATTCGGCGGGTTGGGGAGGAGGTTTGCTGTGATCATACAGTTTAGTTCCCGGCCTGTTTTTTCTCACCAGCTGTTTCCCAAAATGGCTGCACTCTTGTCAGGGTCATGAGGATTCCTTTCCCACACAGACAATAAATCCTGCTGAATGATCACTGCATTAATAGAAATCACAGGCAGTGAAGCTAGGCTAGGCTTGGTGGTGGTGGGGTGGGGAGAGGTGAGCATAGAGTTCAATCCAGGCCCCGTGACCCCCTGTGGTTCCTACTTCTGGGGCTGCTGAAGCCCCATTTTACAGTTGGGCAAACTGAGTATGTGCTGGAGGCGCGTTGGCAGGCCACGTGGGGTGGGAAAATGAGGGACTGCAGGTACACGTGCGCCCTCCTCCCGGCTCCCACCCTAGTTCCAGGAGGTCCCTGAGCTGGTGGCGCGCTTCGACACCCTGGCGGACACCCGGGCGGCGCTGAGGATAGCAGAGCGCAAGCAGGTGGCGGAGGTGGAAGCGGCGCGGACTCAGCTGCAGCGGTTGAGGGACGCCCGGCAGGACGAGCTGCTTGCTCTGGGTCAGCAGCGAGCGCAGCTGCAGGAGCGCCTGGAGGCAGCGCAGGAGCTCAAGCTGCAGTGGGTGAGGCTGGAGGGCGCCCCAGACCTCAGACTCCCACTGCCAGGTGGGGAGGAGTGCCCGGGGATACAGAGAACAGACAGAGCAACGCTTAGTCCAAAGGGCTGGGTGCGCTAATGAGGGGGTTTCAGGCATCTGAGAGCGCTTTGGGAAACAGGTGGCTGTCCTATTAGCCGGACACAGCTTGTGCATGCCTCTCCTCGAGAAAGCCTAACTGCTCCAGACTGGCAGACGTGGGTGGGAAGCGGCTTCAGCCTGCTTCCGGCCAGCTCCGGCTTTAATCGGTAGTGGAGTGGGTTTTCTCCAGGAATCCAAGTGGATTCAGATCCAGAACACAGCGGCTGAGAAGACCCTGCTCCTGGGTCGAGCTAGCATGTCAGTGCTCCACCTGTTCCAGTTAGTGAGCCAGCATCAGAAGCAGACACCCACCCTGGACATTTACGACACTGAGGGGCAGCTGGAGCAGGTGAGCCGCCCCCCTCCTTATGACTTTCAGCCCCCAAACCCTTCCTCCTTCAGCAATATGGTGCTTAAAATCCCACCATTAGCTGACACCTTCTCTGGGTTAAGCACAGGACCTTTATGATTAGTGTCACCACCTGGGAGTCCACTTGTAACCACCTGACTGTTTTAGATGCTGCCACCTGCATATCATTCAAACATCAATTATTTTCTTTTTCTTTTAATTGGGTCGTATTCATTGGTTTGTGACTTAGTCTCATCTTTTCCATGGGTGGCCCTCCTTAGTTTTATTTAACATATTTATTAGTATGGACTTACTGAATGCCACAGGATCTGATGCCAAGAACTAGAATGCCAAAAACAAAGTCTCAGCGGAGGGGTCCCATTCATCTGGCTGTGCTGGTGATATGCCAGAAGACATAGCCCTCTCTGGGTTGCAGGGTGCTCTCTTGAGCCGGAAGGCCAATGTTTATGCCAAGAGTCCCTCCTTTCTCCCAGGATCAACCAGCACAAACAAGTGGCAAGATATATAAGCAACTAGGAGGTTACATTAATCCCTGCTCCCTGCAGAGACAGCCCTCAGCTTCCTTCAGGAAGGTGAGAGTAGGCCCAGTGGCTCAACTTGTAATCTTAGTACTCTAGAGGCTGAGGCAGGAAGATTGCTTGAGTTCTGGAATTAGAGACCAGCCTGAGCAAGAGCGAGACCCCCATCTCTACTAAAAATAGAAAAACTAAATGGGCATGGTGGTATGCGCCTATCTCTACTAAAAATAGAAAACAAGATGGGCATGGTGGTGTGCACCTATCATCCCAGCTACGCAAGAGGCTGAGGCAGGATTGCTTGAGCCCAAGAGTTTGAGGTTGCTGTGAGCTATCGTGATGCCATTACATACTAGCCCAGGGAACAGACTGTCTCAAAACAAACAACAACAACAAAAAAAAAAAAAAATTGAGGGGGAAGGGAGGTCACTTTGTTGCCCTTGGTAAGAGTGCCCTGGCGTCATACAGCAACCTCCCTCAAACTCTTGGGCTCAAGGATTCTCTTGCCTCAGCCTCCCAAGTAGCTGGGTCTACCCTGGGAACCATCACCATTGTTGTGCCTTTGAAGGGGGTCTCCAGCCCTCATCCAGACTCACAGACTCCCCACATGGTGAAGGTTTGGGGCTGGGATGTGACTTGGCTGTGGGGTTCCCCTAGGTGAAGATGTTCATCCAGGACCTCTCTGCCATGCTGGCCAGCCTGGGTCAGGCCAAGCCTGTGGCCCCAGCCTCCTAACTGTGATCCAGGTAAACAATGGAGGAGAGGAGGTCCCAGATTTCTTACAGGGTGGGGGCTGAGTGGCTCTTCCTGAATCTGTTTCTGCATCAGAAAGATGGGGAGGGGAATAAAAAGATGGGAGGGCTGTGCCTGTGCAGGACGGTAGGGCTTACATGAGGGACACACAGCAGGCACTCAATAAATGCAGGCCCCCATGAGGTGATGGCTGGGGGGAGGGCAACCACCTATAATATGGGAATAGAGCAGCCCTCCATTGCAGGGCAGTGGGGAGCAAGCTGGTATCTGTCAGGTATTTACAACAGGGCAAATTCTACAGCAGTGTTTGGTAAGTAAAATAAACAGGACCAGCAAGAGGGGTGCCCTGAGAAATATTTGTGCAGAGCACCTGCTCACACTGAGGACTGTGGTGGCTGAGAGGCCCACCCAGAGAATCCAGCTGCTGGGGTCACCCTTGACCTCAGAACCCTAAATAGAGTGGGGAGTGAGAGGGCATAGGGTGGACAGAGGCCACAACACAAGGCAGGACAGACCCTGACCTCTTGGTGTGTGGGCAGGGGTGGGAAGGGCAGTGCTAACCTCTTCACAACCAGAGAGAAGCAGCTGTGCCCTAAGTCCCAGCCCTGCCTCCTACCTCAAGCAACTGGCTTGTGCTCTGAGCCTCCTTTTCCTCATGTGCTAAATGAAGACACTAGCAGACCCACCCTCCAGGGACTCTGGGTGGCATCATGCAGGGAATGCTCACATACTCTCAACTCACCCACCAACCTAGCTGAGATTTTAGTCCCTGTGTCTCTCCCTTTCACTCCCCAAGTAGATTCTATACTCCTGGTCCAGCAGAGGTGCTCAGTAAAGATTTATTCCATTAAAAAACTTCATCACTGGACCCTGAGCTACTCAGGGCTCAGGCCTGTGTAGCCATGATCTCTGAACCCAGAACACATGGAAGCAGCAGCAGCTGAGTTGCCAACTCAGGTCTTGGCCTGCCTGGCTTTGTTGGTGAACTCCTACACGCCCTTCAAGACCCTGCTCAAATGTCTCTGTCTTAGGCAGATGCAGCTGCTGCCCTTCTGTGGCCATACAGCACTCCTTTTCACAGATGCTGGCTCCTGCAGGGAGCTCTCCTGGTGCCAGGCACAGGTACGCAGTAGTGTGAGGAAACGTTTGCTGATGTCCACACCAGGGCCCAGCAAGGTGCTGCAGGTCCTGGTCCTTACATCCTCTTTCTCATCTTGCCCTTCTTGGAGCGGGCACCTCGGCCAAAGGCGCCCTGCTGTAGCTCTTGGACACGATGACGGTTTCGTGCAGAGAGTTGCTTAAGGCCCCCACGCTGCAGGAAGCGCAGCTTCTGGGTTCGGCGCCGCTGCTTCAGGATCTGTTGTTTGGTCTTGAGCTCTGAGCGCACGTGGCCTGCAGGGGTGCCTGGGATGCGTGGCTGGGATGAACCTGCCAGGAGAGGGATTCAGGGAGCTCAGCCTGTGGGTCAACCCCTGATGTTGCCTCCTACCAGATGCTCCCAGACTATTCCCCTGTTCCCATTCCATGCTCATTGCTCTAGCCCCAGCATCTGTACACAGTAGAGATTAAAAAAGGTCTAGGAATCTACTGTAGTGGTCAATAGCATGAAACCTAAGGCCAGAAATGCTGGGGTTCAAATCCCAGCTGTGACTTAGATTTTGGGTATGTCACTCAACTGCCCAGGGCCTCAGTTTCCCCATCTGTGAATTATGAATAACAGCACCTGCCTTAGAGGTCCTCATAAAAGTTAATGAGTTTACATGCGTGAAGTGCTCAGAACACTGGCTGGCCCATAGTAAACTATTACTATTAAAAATTATCCAACACACACTTACTGAGCACCTACTATATGCCAGGCACTGAGGCACTAGCAGTGACAAAGACAGACTTTAATCTCTGCCTAATCTCTGCAGTCCTAGGCTTGATGGGTGAAAAAGGGCTGCAGCTTAATCCTCCTTTAGGCAGAAGAGAAAACAGAGGAGGCTAGAGAGGAGAAGGGACTTGTCTGAAGACAGAGAGTGCCACAGAGGACACAAAGTGGCAGCAGCAGAGGAAAACAGCTCTGCCCCAGCCAGATAACTGGGTTTGAGGGCAGCCTGTTCTTTTAGTTTTCTGACAGGGTGAGTACCACCTGCCTCCCACTAAGCCTTGTGTCATCGTCATCCTCCTCCTCCTTGCTCCCTGTCCACATGAAGCTCCTCCCCACCCACAACAGTGGCCTTCCCAGGTGCCCTGGCAAATGATCACTGAGGCAGTCCCAAATATCTCCATTGGCATCAGGGTGTCTAACAGGGCCATCACCTCCAATAAGAAAAGAGCACAGGAGAGAATAGACTGCTGCTTCCCACAGCCCACCCTCATCTCCCCAAGCCTAGCCCAGCCCACCCACTGCATGTCAGTGCCCACAGCAGTGCTGTTTTACCCAGGTAAAAACGGGGGCTGACAAGTAAAGTGTCAGAGGATCCGGGGGCAGGGACGCACCCACAGAAAGAGAAGTGAAGTGTCAGAGGATCTGGGGGTAGGGACACACCCACCCTCTGTCCTCTGGGACAGAGGCGCCAAGAGGGAAACAGAGAGGGACAGGGAATAAGGAAGCAGAAGAAATGTAAGTCAGGGACAGAAAGAGCAAGAGAAGGAGGAACAGAGGAGACAGAGGGAAGGATGATGCTGACAGGAGACGTGTCCACAGATGAAAGAACTGGCACAGAAAGGCAGAAGGGAAGTCACGGAAAGAGAATAGGCCCCAGGCTAAAGGTTACAAAGACACAGAAGAAGCAGAGACCAGCTCCCTGGGGCAGGGCACGTGCAGGGTCAGTCCAAGACATGCTGGGACATGGTCCCAAACTCCTTTCTCCTCAGGGAAGGCCACAGGTGGGAGGGAGCAGGTACCTGGGTGACCCAGATTCAGTCAATGCCCTCATGAGCTACCTGGGTTTCTCTGCCTATAAAGCATTTGCAGTCTTCTCGCCTCCCAGGCCATGTATGTCATGTCCAGGACATAAGCCTGTCCCCATCCAGCAAGTGCGAGTCCCTCCCTGATAGCAGGCTTGCACTGGAAAGCAGTGGTGGGGCTGGAAGGGGGCCTAGCTTCAGTCCCCTCCCTGCAGAGCATGTCAAAGATGGTGAGCTGGGAGGGCCCCTGTGGGTGGAGTTGGCCAACCCACATTTTAAGAAAGATCTTTCCTCAGCCTCCCCAGCAATCACCTCCTCCTTGAGCCAGAGCTGCTTTCTGACTGGCACCTTATGCAACATGAACTTCCTTATGGCCTTGTTAAAAAGAGCATCACCCTGGGTGTGTCCACAGAGAATCTTTCCATGCTCACTTCTTGTCAGGTTGAACCGAACGCCCCTGCCATTTTGCAGGTGAGAAATGGCTAGATGGCAGCACTGGCACAAGGAACCATCATCTGTTCCCTAGGCTTCTGGACAACTGGCTGAATTAGGCAAACTGGTCATCTACCAAAAGTTATCCCAGTTGCCTCATCTGTCAAGTGGTAAGGGGTCAGGATAATGTGCCTGAGGCTTGACTCTCCCCTGTCAGGTGGTACTAGTGACCATCAGCGCCACCGAGGGACAGGGGAAGGGGGAACATATGTTTGTAAGATGGGGCCCACGAAAGGACCCAAGGCTCTGGCAGAGTCCAGCCCAAAAGACCCAGGTCTACATCCCTCTGCCTCAGTTGTTTTCTAACCTGACACGAACCCTGCCAACCTGCACACCCACACTTGCTACCCTGGCTCTCACCTCGGCCACGGCCTCGCTTCCCACCTCTTCGCTCTGGGCCTCTCCGGTCAGATGCCCCTTCCTCCTCTGAGTCACGATCATCAATTTTCTGTTTCTGTTTCCACTTCTGGTAGCTGGAAAGCCCAGTTAAGGAAGCTGCGTGTGGCGTCGCGAAGCCCCTGGGCTGAGCAGACTCCGCCCCTCCTCCCGCCCAAGCAGCTACAGGTCCCACCTACAGAGCCCCAGAAGAAAGCGCTCAACCCCGCCCACCCAGCAGACACAGGTGCCACTTATTAGTATTGCAGCTACTGAAGCAGTTCAGCCCCGCCCCTTCCCGCCCCCTAGCAGACTCAAGTCCCATTTATTAGGGTGGTTGCTGCTTCTGAAGCCTCTCGGCCCAATCTCTCTCTAACCCCTCCCCGACCCCGCCCCCTTGCAGACTGAGGTCCCACTTATTGGAGCCGAGGCTGAAGCCGCTCAACCCCGCCCCCAAAGGCCCCGCCCCCAGGCCCCGCCCCTCCGGATACAGGTCCCGCTTGTAGGAGCTGCTAATGAAGCCGCCACTCTCCGTCTTGATCTTCTTCTTGTCCTCTTGTCCTGACTGTCCCACAAACCTCTTCTTCTTCCGGTCCCTGCAGAAGAGGGAGTTAGGAGGGCTGCCGTGAAAGGAGATGGCCTAGGGTGCTCCTTGGGGCCTGTTTCCTCACCTGACTTCATTGGGTTGTTTGTGTTTTAAGTGCAGCCTTGTGTGGCATGCAGTTGGCACTCAATAATGTCTGTTTCCTATCCCTCCTCACCTTTCTCTGGTGAGGTCTCAAAATAGAGTGTGGGGTTAGGGGTTGGCACAAGCATTGGAACCCTAGCTCAGGGACAAGGGCCTGAAGGAGGGTCCCACTTCCTGACTGTGTGACCTTGGGTCCATCCACCTTTGCTAGACTCTAGAGTCCTTGTGAGCAAAACAGGTCATGAGCCCTACCTAGAAAGACCAGCCAGCAAAAAGGACAGGCAGGATCAAGATCCTTGTGCTGTAAGATCAAATGAAGAGGCTACCACCCTGCTGTTGGGTGGTAACATGGGAGTGAGAATATCAAGTGGTAACCCTGCCCGCTGGGTGGGGCAAGGAGCAGGTGGTGAAAGGGGCACAAACAAGGCTCACTTGCTCACTCACCACTTGAGCTGCTGCCGACCCCTGGTCAGGTTCTGTGTTTCGTCCCCCATCAGGTCCAGGACAGCACCAGTCACTTGCTGCTCAAAGGTCC